GTCGGACAATGCCATCAAAATACAGGTTTTTTTTTGTTTTTGTTTTTAAAATCAATTATTCCTGATGACGGGTACGCATGATTAGAACGCCAAGTGTTTTCTTAATACTGTTGGTACCAAAATGAGCACTCTTGCGATATTTAAAATGTGGCGGATCGATATGCGTTTTATGAGTGCCAGAAGCAAAATAATAAATATCTGTGAATTACTTACGTACGGCAATACGCAACAGGACAGCCATGGATTGAGTGTGGGGAGATGAGGCTGCGCGGACGAGCAAGACTCTTCGGTGTGTACCAGGCGTGAAGGTTAGGTACACAGTGTCGCTGGAGAACTCAAGATGAGGACTTTTAGGTCTGCCGCGCTGACGAACAAGTTCAAGGCGAAGATCGAAACGAAGACCCAGACTGAAAGAATGGAGCGTTTAAATAAGGAGAATTGGTACCACCCCGGGAAAGAAGGAATGTGAGTCCTTCCGGTAGAACAGGAGATGACGCTAGACAGGAAGTGCATGAAAAAGGGTTATTTTGGTGAGAAATGGAGCTAAAAATAAAAAGAAATGCTAATGATGAAAGAGATAAAGGGGGTATGGGAAGGGAGTACGGTAGTGACTCATTATTCGAAAAGGAAAAATGTTGTATAAAAAAAAAACTAGAGAAATGTTTACATAGAATTATATTTAGACATGCAATTATATTTGCACCATCTTGGTAATACCTTATTTCTTGTTTATTGTTAAAAATAGTTTCATCATTTGGTGTAACCAGGTGGAAACCTCTGCCACTGGTTACTCTTCAAGTGATGAGCTGATATTACTGTGACGGAAAGGCCGCGAAAAGTCAACAAAGGAGAGACTGCCACAAAGAAAAAAAAACGCACACTACTTATGGGAACCAGCCGAGAAAAGTGTTTTCTACCAGATACACAGTAAATGTGCTGCTAGGCTGACCGTGAAGCACAATGATCTGTGGTGTAGTGCGTAGCATGTCGCGTCCGGATGTGGAGGGGCTGGTTCGATCACGTACTGGTGCGCAAGCATTTTTGGAGAGAATCCGCTTGCGTCGGTATTGCAGGTACTGGTAGCAAATTAGCTATTATCAGCAGCAAAATTGCTATTAGCAAAAATTTAATTAACCGGACCTACTCCCGATCACTTTCGAAAAGTTGACAAAATTTCAAGAACAAGGAGGGTTCACTCCTTATGTTTGCAGCTGCTACTTATGAAGAGTACATGTATTCCAGGATTTGCTTCCATTTTTCCCGGAATTTGCAACAATTGAACATTTCAAAGGACCACTATGCGAATGTTTAAAAGAACATTCAGGAAAAATCAAGGCCAGTATTTTTTTTTGCTATCTTTAGGATCTTTTATTTTTCCGGTTTGCAAATGCTTCTAATTTTTGTAGGTAGTTCCGCAAAATTTGTAGGTGGTGGATATCCCGGGGAATAATTGATTTTTTGAAGCTCGATTATGCATCTTTGTATCGAGATAAGCCCGGAATTTGTATTTTTTCCGATAGTATCACTAAATTCCGATCTTCACATAATTGTCTAGACGATTTTGGCAGTCGTATTAATTGTTTCTGTTTTAGCAACTGCAAGATGAAATGAAGAATGCAACAGAGGTGGCGCAACAGATCCGTAACGACATGGAAAAAATGAAGAGCAAGTAATTGCATTTCTGATTTTGGTCAGCTCCTAGTCAGATCCTCTCCGCCACTTTCATGGGATAAAAGAATTCGACTATGTTTCCATGCTAGAATTTCCTTCGATAGAGCTTTCCATGGAGAAGATTGTCCTCAAGTAGGCCTTTTTCCTCAGAATTTATGCATAGTTTGTAGATAATCGCTGTGATTTTTGAAGTGCATCTGACTCATGGCAGGCATGGAGCAGTGGAAACTAGCAATGTTGTCGTGCAGTAAATCGAAAGTTTGACCCTGCAGGCAAGAAATAGCCGGTCCTCCTTCGATTTGCTCATTCGTTTCGATGGTAAATTGGTAGTGGCATATACTAGGGTGATAAACTCACCATATTTCTACTTGTAAGCAATGTCCGAAAGAGAGACTATTGCAGCGGATGATTGCAGTTGGCATTTGCTAGCACTTCATGCTACATCCTGAATCCCGTACTACGTAAATCATTTGATTTTCAGCAAGAAATTGCACGAAACTCATTTTTTATACGTCTTGTGCTGTGTAACAGCAGTACAAAGCGCATATTGCCACGGGGTTGTCTGTGTGTGTGTCCCACATTTTGTCCCGCACTTCCAACTCGGGAACCGCAAAAGCTAAGCGGCTGAAATTTTAGTATAGTGTTCCCCGTCAACGTGTGATGCAGCAAATTTAGATTCAGGATCCTGTACCCGCGGGTAACGCGTACGGCCCCGTAAAAGTCTTGGCGGGTAAAATTATTATCATGGGAACCACGTAAGCTGGAAGGCTGAAATTTTGTGGGCATGTCCCCCGCCCATGTGCTGCCCAAAAAATTTAAATTCAGTTTTCCCCGTGCCCGCGGGCAACATTTACAGCCCCGGTAATTTATTATCTCGGGAACCACGGAGTCTAGAAAGCTGAAATTTTAGAATAATTTTGGCCCCTTGCCCACGTACGACCTTGCATATTCAAATTCAGCGTTCCCGCGTTCTTGAGTATCACTTACGGCCTCGTGAAAGTTTTGACGGATGAGCTATTGTCTTGGGGATCACGGAATAATATTTACCCTTCAGGGTTTCAAATTCTGCTTTCATTCGCCGATGCGTGGAATTTTTAACTACTTTTCAACGTTCCAACTATTTTTGCATAGACTAAAGTACAAAGCAGTGAAAATCATAAACAGGCAATCGTTTGGTGGGTTCAGTTGCACGGAATGCATCATCGCACCGGCTAGTCTGGTGCGCGTTGCTATTTATATTTTAATTATCTATTTTGGATCATACATAAACGTTTGTTTCGTTCCGGGTTCACAGTGATTCGTGCCAACGACCAGTGTGCATCTTGTGCTGAATCAGTCATGACTCGTCCATTCTATGCATTTACTTGCCGGCATTTCTTTCACAAAGATTGCTTGGAAACTGATATGAAGGAGCACTGGACACCGGTAATTTGTTTTGCATAATCCCTCATTTGTTTCTTACTTATCTAATTGCATGCAAATTTCAAAATCCTTTCTAATCACGAACGATATGATTTTTGGAAGGTTCTTCTTACCTTGAGTTATTGCTATGGCTTGCTTTGAAATAGTCTTTCCCTTCTTTGCAAAAAAAAAGCATTTCTTTATCTAGTACTTCTTTATCTAGCGCTAAAAAGCCGGTATGTGAGATGGAACGAAGAGCAGTCTGAGTTATCTGAAGGCCGTTCAACACATGGCGTGATGATGAGAACCATGAGAATATCGCTTAATTTTTTTCGATATTAATTAATTCGAATTTTACTCGAATTAATTAAATCGAATTTAGTCGAATTTTAGTTTAATCTTTTCGAATTGATTTAATTCGATTAATTAATTTGATCGGATTAATTTAATTCGAATATTACTTTCCGAATTGATTTAATTCGGTTAATTAATTTGATCGAATTAATTTAATTAACTCGAATAATATTTAAAATTTTGTTAATGCACCTGTATTATTAAGTGCAAAATGGAGAAGCTGCTGGTTCCACTGATGATGGTAAGAAGGAACGCGATGATGAAACAATATTTGATTAAAGAATGTGATGTAACGCTGAAAAAATGAATTTATTTTGCAGCAAGAACTGGAAAAATATATAGCTTTGGTAGAAAAAGAACGAGTTCTTCAAAAGCAACTGGAAAAATTGCAGACGTCATCGGAATGCACACAGAAGAAAATAAATGGTGACTTTGGCTTAAAATTATTACTTTAACACCTATCAAATGACTAGTTAACT